AAATTACAAAGAGATAAAGAATAAGAGTAGTTAGCAGCACAATCCTGAAGAGACAGGAGTGGGAGGAGAAATCCAACACTTCATTTGTAGATGAGATACACCTTCACATTGTGAGTCATAATCTGGTTACTCTTCATGCATTTACTGTACGACTCTCAAACCATACCTGTATTTGACAAGATATGCAAGCTCAGATACAGCTTAACTTTTCATGGTGAGACAGAGGCATAGGGTTAGAGTAAACTTTCTGACATCCAGTTTCAAACTTTATGGTTTGGAATTACACGGTGTTTTGGGAAATGTCTTGCACCCCCTTCCCTTGCTGGAAGCTGTGGCAATGGGTGGCAGCCTGTGTGGATGGGTCTTCACACGCTCCTCCTGCCAGATGGGAGAGCCGAGGTTTTGAGCTCTCTCTGACTTTCTCTGTGGCATTTGTGAGCAGCTTGATGTATTTGACACGAGCGTGACAGCAGAGAAGCGTGTGAGCTGAGCTGTATGCTGCAGGGCCCAGCTGTGTGGATTTATCTGTACATCAGGCCAAGGAGCAGCAGTTAGCTAGATCTGACAATCAAACGCTAGCTCCTTCTACCTCCACTCCAGAGTGCATTTTAATGTTGTGTGTGTTTACCAACCAGTTCGCATTTGACACAGACAAAGAAATTGTCAGAGCTGTTTTTTTTCCCCTTTTTATAGTATGCTAGTCTGTGATAGTTTCTCAAATAAAGGTTTCATTGTACATGAACAAAAGTGTGTGTTTTCCAAACCAAAACCAAAAATTATGTGCTCTTCAACTTTATACTGAATTCCATGTTAAGGCTTAATAGCCTTGACTTTGCCATAAAAATTGCAGTTCTGCTTAGATTCTTTTTATAAAAAAGTTAAATTAAAGATTGTGACTAGGTAATATGTTTACATAGTTCAGAAATCAAAACAATATAAAATAAAGATTAATAGCCCTGACTTTGCCTTTTTTTAAAAAGCTGTTCTGCTTAGATTCTTTTTATAAAAAACTAAATAAAAATTCTGAATATGTAATATATGTATGTAATTAAAACATCAAAACAATATAAAATGGAATGTTTTGAGTTCTTTTGCTCCCACCCTTGTCTCCTTCTATTCATTTTCCAACTCCACCCCTGACAGATAACTACTTTATTACTTTGTTACTTAGCCTGTATGTTTCTCTATGCAGATGCAAGCAGCTGTGAATATCTATGTAATTTTTCCTTCTTGTTCTGTACCTTACTTCTTTACTTGCCGGTATATCCTGGAGAGCTTTTTATTTCATTAACACAGAGCTTCCTCATTCTTGTTTACTGTTGCATTATATTTCATTGTGTGGCTGTAACATAGTTTAACTGTCCCCTATGGATGGACACTTGTGTTGTTTCCCATCTTTTTTTTTTTTTTTGTTTTTTGAACTATAATTCATGTATCATAAAATCCACCCTTTAAAAGTGTTCAATTCAGTGGTTTTAAGCATGTTTCCAAGCTTTTGTTCTACCAATAGTGATGCATCCAGTAACTTTGTGCATATATTCCTTTGAACATGGTGTGAGTATATCTGTAGGATAAAGCTTCAGAACTAGTATTGCTGGGTCAAAGGGTAAATGCACTTGAATTTTGGTAGGAATCACCAGTTGCCCTTCATAGGGATTGTACTGTTATGCATGCATGAGAGCGAAGTACGAGAGGGCCTGTTTCCCCACAGTTTTGCCAGGGGTGACTTTGCCTTTTTATCAAGCAATTTTAATTGCTTTATAAAAGCAATTTATAGCCAATTTTTCAAATATTGATTTTCGTATCCAGTATAATCAAATATTGATTCTTGATTGGCTTCACCAAGGTAAACATGACTGAAACTTCTTTTTCAGTTAATAAATATTGTTATTTGTAATTGATCTTGTCATTTAATTGGTAAATTGTAAGTAGTGAATGTTGTACAGACCACGCTTGGTTCAGCTTTGTGGTCTTAAGTTGGATACTTTCTCAACCTCCATTCTCTCCTGTCAAAATGGCTATAATGATGCTCACAATATTAAAATTAAAAATTTTCAGTGGGGGAAGATCATTTACATTCTGCTTGCTCTATAGTAGAACATTCTTATAGAATTTTATTCTTTTGATATAGCCTTCCAAGTTATAGTGTTGTATACTGTTTGATGCTCTGGGCCTGAACTTAGATGATAAGAGGTTGTTTTTGCAATAATTTAGCTGAAGCATTAATTATAAGCAGAGTCCCTGCCTCCATTGGTGTTTGTTGACCTTTGGGACAGATCAGTTGCTGTTTAATCTGGCGGGTGGAGTATATAATTCCTTTCCCTCCTTATACACAGATTAGCTTTATTGATGGATTCTCATGAAGAGATCTAAAGGCGATGTTTATAAGGTAGAGTCATTTCAAGGTTGGAGACATCATTGGCATTTGAATTATTGAAGGCTTTTAAGGATGACTTTAAAATAAAATTTTTTTTTTTTTGCATTTATAAATTTGCTGGTGCTTTGTGCCTATAAAAAAGATGGAGAACAGGTTAAAGATTTGTAGGAAAATGCAGGCTTCCTGAGCTTGAAGTGAAAATTGAGGTATAGATTTTGATTGCATTAGTCATGGAGTGTATAAATGTGCAAGTGTATGCATAGACATATCATTTGTTTTTTCTATGCCTCAAATAATGGCTAATACTGAAATCAGAAAATCCAGCTAACCAATTAATAAATTATCCGAACTAATGGTGTGTGAATTATGTTAGTATTACAGGTTCTTGGTAAAGGAAAAGTGTTCATAGTTTAACTGGTAAGCCAGTCTTATCGTTCAGATGAGAAAACATCTGAGGGCAAAGGAGAAGGCTTTAATTAAATACTATACAGACTACAGTGGGAGAAAGATGTGATAGTCTACTTCAATAAAGATTTATAGCCTTGGAAACCCTATGGGGCAGTTCTACTCTGTCCTTTAGGGTCGCTATGAGTCGGAATCAACTCAACAGCAATGGGTGTGGGTATACAGACTAGAATTATACATAAGAGTAGGATTTACGATTTTGTTTCTCTTAGGTAGACTGCTTGCTATATTTCTATTTCTTTTCTTCTTTGTTCATTTTTGATAATGATATAAAAGGTCCAGAAAGAATCTGAGTTTTGCCCAGAAGGCTGTTTTCTCTGGATCACTCTGGTTCTGATGGGTTTGTGAGGGATGGCCACCATGTCTGGTTTAGCAGGTTGTGCACTGTATAAGCACAGTGGCAACAGAGGTGGGTGGGGAGCTGAAATCCAGCTTGTGTTCACAAAGTCTTGCCCTGTGGAGTGGGGCAAAATAGGCCTAGAACAAGGTGCGCGATTTTCTAATTCTTGTAAAAGTCCCTTCCTGGCAACAGCCCTGGTGATGCATTTTTATTTATTTATTTGTTTTATTGTACTTTAGATGAAGGCTTACAGAACAAATAGTTTCTCATTAAACAATTAGCACGCGTATTGTTTTATGACAATGGTTAACAACCCCATAACATGTCAACACTGTCCCTTCTCAACCTTGGGTTCCCTATTACCAGCTTTTCTGTCCCCTCCTGCCTTCTAGTCCTTGTCCCTGGACTGTTGTAACCCATTAGTCTCGTTTTGTTTTATGGGGCTGTCTAATCTTTGACTGGATGTTGAACCTCAGGAGTGACTTCATTACTGAGCTAAAAGGGTGTCCGGGGGCCATACTCTCAGGGTTTCTCCAGTCTCTGTCAGGCCAGTGAGTCTGGTCTTTTTTTGTGAGTTAGAATTTTGTTCTCCATTTTTCTCCAGCTCTGTCCAGGACCCTCTGCTGTGATCCCGGTCAGAGCAGTCAGTGGTGGTAGCCAGGCACCATCTAGCTGTACTGGAATCAGTCTTGTGGAGGCTGTGGTAGTTGTGGTCCATTAGTCCTTTGGACTAATATTTCCCTTGTATCTTGTTTTCTTCATTCTCCCTTGCTGCCGAAGGGGTGAGACCAGTGGAGTATTTTAGATGGCTGCTCACAGGCTTTTAATACCCCAGACGCTACCCTGATGATGCATTTTATTAGTCTAATTTGAAAACCAGTTGTTTCTCCTTTTTCTGTTTTTTAAAAAAATTTATTTTAGATAATTTCTATAGTATGCACATAGGTGTATGTGTATGTTTGTGTATACAGGCACATATATGCCATTTATGTGCTGTATGTACATGCTCACAAAGCACACTCCATATATGCTTGAATATAAGGTCAGGTATTCCCTGAAAAAATCCTGCAGAAGGAGTCACCTAATATGTATTTGATTCCCTATAAATTACTATATAATGTAGAGTCTGCCTCATTTACTTTGTTTAAATATCACGGAACTACTTGGGGAAGACGAAGAAGCTCAGAACGGCCTCATAGGAGCTGTGGATGCTTACAGTGTTTCTTGATAGAATTGGAAAGAAGCAAAGATTTTAATTCAGATTTAATAATTATTCTAGAGATCAAATATTGCTTTAAAAAAGCAATACTGTAAGTGGATATGATCTCCAATGAATGTTTACAGGATGAGTAAAAATTTCAAACATCCTGATGTTATGCAAATGGATACTTGTGGCTTGGGTTGCTATTTCCGGTGATAACATCATAGAAGGAATCAATAACTACTGTGTCTCAAACTGCTTATACAGACTGGAAGATTTGCTTTGGAAAATTGTATTGGATGACTTAAAAGGTGCCATTAGTGATGAAAAAGACCCTGATGTCAAAGATACATGTCAAGAGTTTGCATCAGATTGTCTCAAGAAATGTCAGAGTGAATAAAATCATTATTTCTAAATTAATGTTTCATACAATATGTAATTTAAAATTTGTATATTTAATACATATTATAATTGGCATTTGACTAATTTGTTCTCTAAAAGCATATAGTCGAGTTGACTAAATTATTTTGGTATTTCCTCTATTGGAAGGATAAGGGGTTGTCTTACGTTTTGATTTGCTTTATATTCAGTCATATGTAAATACTATTTTTATACAGAAACTGAGGCTTCTTGAAGAACTTGAAGACGCATGGCTTCCTTATCTGACCCCCAAAGATGATGAATTCTATCAGCAGGTAAGGTATTTTAATATTTTTATCAATTTGTAGTAATATGCTTGGCAGAGATATTGAGATAGAGAACCTCAGAGGTAATCTAATCCAATCTACCTCATCTTATCTGTGAGGAAACTGTGATCAAGACAGGTTCAATGATAGGTGAAATGACCTGATTTGATTATCCTGGACTCCTCATTGCCTACAAAGCATATAAACTCACAGTCTGCTTTCTGCTTCGAACTTGGTGCTTTAGCATGGTGGACTGTCTTTAGTTCCTCACGTGTTCCATGCTGTTCCCCATTTCCTTGCGTCTGCTATGCTGTTTGTTTTGCCTATAATATCCTTTTGCCCTTTATCCTGTTTCCAGATGGCTAATTCTGCAAGACTTCACCTAACGTCACCTCCTTTGTGAAGACTTCCCCGACTTACCTAACCTACAAGTAGAGTTGAGCACACTCTCCTCTGTGCTACTTGTACCTTGTAAACACCTCATTGTACCATCCATCATGTTGTATTGGATTTATAGGATTCTGTATCTGTCTTCCTCAATTAGTCAGATCCCAGGTGGCACAAATGGTTAAGTGCTTGACTACTAGCCGAAAGGTTGGTGGTTTGAACCCACCCAGAGGGGCCTTGGATGACAGGCCTGACAATCTGCTTCTGAAAGGTCACAGCCTTGAAAACCCTATGGAGCAGTTCTATCCTCCACACATGGGGTCGCCATGAGCCAGAATTAACAGAATGGCAACTAACAATAACACCTTTAAATTACAAATGACAAAAGTCCAAATCAAACTCCTTGTAGCAAAAAAGGGAATTTGTTACTTAACTTAGATGTCTAGGTTATGTCATGGCTAACTCCAGCTTCTTGAAAGATGTTATCTGATCAGTTTTTCTCCATTTCTTGGCTTGGTTTTCCTCTGTGTGACTTCATACTGAACAAGCTCTCACCTGATAGCTTAAGAGGACTCTCTGACAGCCCAAGGGATATGTGATCTTTGGCATCTGGGATCTTACAAGAAGGTGGTGATTTCCATGTTTTCATCCGGTTCCCCAGGGGATGATATGTTGGCCTGGTTAGAGTCGTGTATTCAGACGGGTGTGATGCTGTTGTTTACTTATTTCACATACTCACTCTTAGAGTTGGGTTGGAATGCAGAGCATTCCTACCCCAACAACACAGACTGAAAGTCAGAGATGGATGGCTTCCCCAAAGGAAAATTGGAGTACTGTTACCAAAGATGGAGGAGAATGCAAGCTGGCCGAGCAAAACCAGTACATTTTTACCTATTCTTTCCTACTGTAATGTAAGGTCTTTCGGGTATAGGAATTGGGACATATCTTTGTATTTCTGGCACTTAGTGTTTGTACATAGCATACCCTCAGTAACCGTGGAAAGAGAGGAAAGTTTACCCATCTAGAATCCAGGTCTCTTGGCTTCCAGTGTCTCTCACCTGCATTATCATTAAATCTTTACTGTCTTTCACTGGGTCAGCCCTCTTATGGGTCTACTTAGTTCTCTTCTTTGCCTCTCTTTCTTAATCCTCCCTTTCTTAATGCAGCATATTTTCTAACTAAGACATCAACCTGAGCATGTCTACCCCCTGCTTCAAATCCCTCAGTGGCTGTTCATTGCCTGGCTCCTGCAGTTCTAGCGTCATCTCCCCCACTCTTCCACCATTTTACTTATGCTGGATTTTTGTAGTATCTCAAATTAGCTATGTAATTTCATATTTGGGAGACTTCTTGCTGCATCCTCTGCTGACATGCCTCCGTCTCCTTGTCTGTCTCATCTTTCCTTGGTGAACTTCAGTGTTACCTGGCTGGAGCAGCTTACTTGTCATCTCTGATGTGAAGCTTCCCTAACACCTCTACAGCCTAGAAAGTTGTCTCTGTTCCCTCCTGTGTGGTCCTGTAGCACTTCATCTGTCCCTTTATTAGCACTTATCTCAATTTATTGTAATGATTTCTTTATATGTTTGTGTTCCTTGTTCTATGTGCCTTGTGTAGTGCCTGGTACCTAGCAAGTGCTTAATTAATTTGCTTGAATGAATGAATGAATGAATGAATGCATATATGAATCATTTTAAAAGGCAAGTTATATAATAATAAGTTTAGTATGATGTGAATTTTGTGTTTATACACAGTCACACGTCCCCAGGGAGGGTGTATAGTGAAAGATCTCAAGGATATATACAGAAATGTCATATCCCAGAGTGGTAGGGTTTTCCCTTCTGAGCTTTTCTGGTTTTCAGATTATCTGTAATGAACATGTATTCTTTGGCAATCAGGAAAAAAAAAAATTTAAAGTACGGTTAAGATAGGTGATCCCACAAAATACAATCAGTTCTTCAATTCTTAACTAATATTTTCACAGATATAAGCCTCATGGTACATGATTACACGCATTGTTGGAAAGCAACTGCTGAGCCATTTCAGCTTTTGTTTTGTGAAAGTAGTACATGAAGAATCAAACACAAAAGGTTATCAGCCCACCTTGCTCTGAACCAGCCATACACTGGGGAATAAAAGGAAACCCAAATGCAAATAGAACAACTATCAAGGCTTCTCTTTTATTGTTCCAAGACCCACAACAAACCCTGATACCAATATCTAATCACTTTAAGTGTGCCTTATAAGAAGGCTTAGTACTTCTACAAAACCTTAGTAAAAGTAAATCTGTTCTCCTAAAAGATGAAGTAAAAACACTTTTTAATGACATGAATAAATAGAAAGTTCAGACCTGACATTAGGTCTGTTAAATAGTCTCTGGCCGCAGGAATGTCAATCCAGCTGCCAGTCATAAAAACACAAGACTTTATGCAGTTTCCTTATTAGGTCGGGGTCATCTATTGTCAGTTGACTCCTACAGTGTGCCAGGGACTGGGCTAAATGTTTGATGAAATCCTGACAACAGCCTTATTCATTCATTCCAGATTTATGTATTGAGTACCAATTCTACTTCAGTCAGTGGTGCTAGGGGTTGAGGTAGTGATTATCATTTCTGTTTTAGATATCATTAAGACTAAGTTAAGGTCCGTAGGTGGTACAAATGATTTGTGCTTGACTGCTAATCTAAAGGGTGGTGGTTTGAGCCTACTCAGTGGTACAAGGGAAGAAAGGCCTGGTGATCTGCTTCTGTTAAGATTACAGCCAAGAAAACCCTATGGAGCAGTTCTACTCTGTAACACATGGGGTCGCTATGAGTCGGAATCAGCTTGACAGCAACTAACAACAGTAGCAATAAGTTACTCATCTGAGTGGCAGAGCTGGAGTTCAGATCCATATTTGCCTGTCTCTAAAGGCTCATGCTTTTTCTGCTACACTGTACGCCTTTCAGTATGTCTTGCTCAAATTCAGAACACCTTCAGAGAAGGTTTGCAGTTTCTTCTGTTAAGACCCTGGAGAAAACAACAACAACCATAACAAGAACTCAAAGCCAAAGAGCAGAGAGAGCCTCTGTTGGCTCACCATGGAGCACAAAGAAATGAGGAATTACAGTGTTAGAAAATAAACTCTGGCTTCCACATCTGTGAATGCTGCCGTTTTATCCAGAGAAAATGCTACGCTCCCCTTTGCTTTCATTTATTGTGTGCGTTCCATGTGCCAGGTTGTTCTGGTATTATTCTAACCACACTATGAGGCAGCAGTCATTAAAATCCCCATTTTAGAAATGAGGAAACTGAGGCAGAGAGAGCTTTAGAAATTTGCTCAAGATTTGCAGGCAGGAAGTGTCAGGGCCAGGATTTGAGCCCGGGCTGTCTGGCTTCTGTACTCTCAAGCCCTATACTGCTTCCCTCTTCCTCTGGGTCTCATGGTCCTTCTGGGATTGCAGTGCTTTTATACCAGTGATCCCAAACCACTATGTCATTTCCTGCTCTCCCTTGTGATCTCCAGTCCCCCAATTCCTACTGCCTACTGGGTTTCTGAAGGAACCCTGGTGGTGCAATGATTAAGCAAGTGCTTGACTGCTAACCAAAAGTCAGTAAATAGAACCCACCAGCGGCTCCACAGGAGGAAGACCAGGTGATCCGCTCCTGTAAAGATTCTAAACCCCAAAAACCATTGCCATTGAGTCGATTCTGACCTATAGATCAGAGTAGACCTACCCTATGGATCCGTAAAGATTGCAGCCTAGGAAACCCCGTACTCCAGGTCTACTCTGTCCTATAGGGTCTCTATGAGTTGGAATTGACTCAACGGCACACAACAACAGCAACAACTGGGTCTCTACCTGAAAGTCTTTCCAGTACGTCTAACTCAGCATGCTCCATGTTAATTAATTACTTAATTAAATAAATGTATTTAGCCCCCATTTTTTGCCAGGCACTGTTGTAGACACTAGAGATGAAGTTGTGAAAACTGACAAAGATTCCTGCCTTGTTTCAGTTTATTTCCTGTAGAGCAGGGATGGTGGTGGGTGGAAATAAATGATGGAATAACTAAAGAGTAAATACGTCAGAAGAGAAAACTGGTATGGAGATAAGTAAAGCAAGTAAAGGGGATAGGAAATACTAATCCCTTTGGTGGGGGATTGCCAATTTAAATAGGGTGGCTACGGATGGCCTTCTTGAGAAAGTGACATTTGAACAAAGATTTGATGGAGGTATAGGAGCAAACCATGCAGAAACTTGGAGGAAAAATGTTCTAGGCATGTGGAACAGTAAATACAAAGGCTCTGAGGCTAGCATACCTGGAGCAGAGTGATAGAGTTGTAGGGATAGAAGGAGATGAGATCAGAGAGTAACAGGCCCTATTATACAGGAACTTGCCCACTATTGTAAAAACGTTGTCTGTTACTCTAAGCAAGATGAGAAGATGTGAGAGGATTTGGAGCATGTCATGGATTGAATTATGTCCCCCAAAAAATGTGTGTATCAATTTGGCTGGACAATGATTCCTGGTATTGTGTGATTTTCCTGTAAGTTGTAAATCCTGCCTCTATGCTGTTAATGAGGGAGGATGGATGGCAGTTGTGTTAGTAAGGCAGGACTCAATCTACAAGATTGGATTGTGTC